TTTCACGTTCTCATCAGTTTCTCTCTCTCCTTCCTCCTCTCTCTAAAAATCGTTTTAAAAAAGTTTAATTAAGAAAACAAACAAACAGCATGGTATTGGCATAAAAGCAGACATATAGATCAATGAAACAGAAAAGGAAATCCAGAAATAAATCCATACCTTTATGATCAATTAATATTTGACAAAGGAGGCAGAAACATACAGTGTGGTAAAGAGAGTCTATTCAATAAGTGGTGTTGGGAAAATTGGACAGATATGTGCAAAAAAATGGAACTAGACCACCTTCTTATACCATACATAAGAATAAACTCAAAATGGATTAGACTTAAACGTTAGATTCAAAACCATAAAAATCCTAGAAGAAAACATAGGCAGTAAAATCTTGAACATTTCTTGTAACAATATTTTTTTCTGATATGTCTCCTCAGGCAAGGGAAACAAAAGAAAAAAATAAATGGGACTACATCAAATTAAAAGGGTTTTGCACAGCAAAGGAAAACATAAACAAATGATAAGACAACACACTGAATGGGAGAACATATTTGCCAACGATATACTGATAAGAAGTTAACATCCAAAATTTATAAAGAACTTATAAAACTCAACACCAAAATAACACACAATCCAATTAAAAATGGGCAAAGGACCTGATTATATACTTCTCCAAAGAGGACATACAGATGGCTAATAGACATATGAAAAGATACATGTGGTGAAGGCCCGGGGAGGGGGCGGAAACGGGGTGGAGAGGGTCAATGGGAGAAAAATAGAGGACATCTGTAATACTTTGAACAATAAAGATAAATTTTAAAAAAAGAGAAGATGCTCAATTTCATTAATCATCAGAGAAATGCAAATTAGAACCACAATGAGATATCACCTCACACCTGTCAGAATGGTTATCATCACTAAATCAACAAACAACAAGTATTGGCAAGGATGTGGAAAAATGGGAATCCCCGTGCACCATTGGTGGGAATGCAGACTGGTGCAGCCACTGTGGAAAACAGTATGAAGTTACCTCAAAAAATTTAAAATAGAACTCCCTTATGACCTAGCAATTCCACTTCTGGGAATATATCTGAAGAAGCTTGAAACACTAATTTGAAAGAATATATGCACCCCCTATGTTCACTGTAGTGTTATTTACAATAGCCAACATTTGAAAGCAGCCCCAGTAAATGGGTGAATACAAAAAACTGTGGTACATTTACATAATGGAATACTATGCAGCTGTAAAAAAGAAGGATCTCTTACCCTTTGGGACAGCATGGATAGACCTAGAGAGCATTACGCTAAGTGAAATAAGACAGTCAGAGAAAGACAAATATCATATGATTTCATTCATATGTGGAATTATATGTGGAATCAGACTAACAAGATGAAAACAGACTCATAGAGAACAGAATGACAGCTGTCAGAGGGGAAGGGGGTTGCAGGGCTGGGTGAAAAAGATGAAGGGATTAAGCAAAACAAACAAACAAAAACACCCAAAGAAGTCATAGATACAGACAACAGTTTGATGATTACCAGAGGGAAAGGGGCATCGAGGAAGGCAAAAGAGGGTATGGGAGGGTAAATGGTGATGGAAGGAGACTTGGTTTTGGGTGGTGAACACACAATACAATAATATACAGATGATGTACTATAGAATTGTACACCTGAAACGTATGTGATTTTATTAACCAATGTCATCCCAATAAACTCAATTTAAAAAATAAAAAGAATTCTCAACCTGGAGCAGACAGAGGCAAAGGGAGAGATAAAGGGCTATAGAAGAGGTGTGGGACTAGAGGAAGGGGGGGCCAAAGGCAGGGAGACAGACAGGGGAAGGCGTGTAAGTAACTGCAGATGTGGCAGATGGAAGGGAAGGGGCTGCCAAGATAAGGGCCCAGTACAAACAAACAAATAATTAACAGCCATAAAATGAGGACCCAGCAGAAGTGGGGTCAAGACTGTGACTGAAATGGGGCCCAGATTAGGATGAATGCCTAGTCACCTCCACATCTGTCACAATGCCCCAGGGACAGCTCAGAGCAGAGACAGGAAACAGCCCTCCATGAATCTGACCTCTCGCCAGGAAGAAATATGGAAACTTTCATCTGCATGTTCACATGCTCATACATGGCAATCCCTGTCCTCAGAAATCTTCAGCCCATGAGATGAGGCAGAGTAAGCCATGCCTCAGGAAAAATACAAATGCTCTCCTGCAGTTCCAAAGCAGAGACCACTGCCTATGGGGGGTGGGAAAGATTTGAAGGAGTAGGTGGTATTATACTGGGATCTTGAAAATGGATAAAATTTGGGCATATGAGAGAGATAAAGTGAAGGTCTTAACCTTTTCCACCAACCTCTCTCTAGTCGTGGTTAAACACCCAAAGACTGCCTATCAGACTGCTAAACAGAAAGGAAGTCCTGGAGACAGAGGCAGCCCCACAGATGCCCACGGAACGGACGGTCACCTAAAACAGTTCTGGTCTCTCTGCCCCGGTTTATACCATAACAACCACAGTTCAGAGCATCAACCACTACCCCTCACACCACCACGGATCACCACCACCCCCATACACCCATATGCAGCTAAAGAAATTGGCCTTGGAATATGTGATATATAAGGAAGACGCTAGGCAAGAGACCAATTCTAATTTCTACTTGACATCACACTAAGTCTACACAAGTGATGCTAAGTCTACACAAGTGTGCCACGTGCTACCAAGCCAACATCACAAGATCCTGATTCATGTAAACACATTCCCAATCCCATTTATTTGCGCTGTACTCCTAAGAAACATGACTTTAAAAAAAATTATTTATTTGAATTGATTTTAGAGAGGGAGGAAGGGTGGGGGGAAGAGAGAGAGAGAGAGAAACATTGATCAGTTGCCTCCTGTATGTACCCTGACTGGGGATCAAACCCGCAACCTAAGTATATGCCCTGACCTGGAATCGAACCTAGGACCTTGGGACGATGCTCCAGCCAACTGAGTCACACCAGCCAGGGCCATGATTTATTTTTTAATTGATATATAAACACATTTTTAGAAATATATTCATATCCTGTTACTGAATCACCAGTGAACCAACATTAAATTTTTGGATTTATTTCTTCTCAAGAAACCTCTGCTCTCATTTTTTAGTTTGTCTTTGCTCTCACTAAAATACCTGGCCTGGGCCCCTGAGCCAGCTGACTTGGCACAGAACTGAATGTGGCCAACACTCCCAGAAAGAAGTCTGTGAGAGGTCTATGGTCCCTTGGTCCTTTGTCAGGACAGTGTCCCACCACCCAGCACTCAGGCCTCAGACCTCTCTATAGGGAGACCTGGATGCAAATCTACACTCCCCCTACACTGGCTACGCTGAGAGAGGCCCCTAGTTTCCTGGGGCAGAGGCCTCACAGCGCAACAAAGGAAAGAGGAGTCCAGAGCATGTGCTCAGAGGTGGGGTCTTCATGAACAAGGTGCAGGCAGAGCAAGCACGTGCTCCCCAGGACGACATAAAGGAAATCTAACGCTGTTGCCTGGGTATGCTCTGCACGTACAATAAAGCAAGCTCACTTCAAAACCTCCAGTTTAGTCTGGCTGGTGTGGCTCAGTGGTTGAGAGTCCACCTATGAACTGGGAGGTCACGGTTCCATTCCCAGTCAGAGCACATGCCTGGGTTGTGGGCTCAATGCCCAGTAAGGGGTGTGCGGGAGGAGGCCAATAGATGGTTCTCTCTCACCATTGATGTTTTCATCTCTCTCCCTCTCCCTTCATCTCTCTGAAATCAATAAAAACATAGTTTTAAAAAAAGAAAATAGTTTCTACTGAAATTGAGGCTTTATATCTTACAAGTGATCAGAGAGGCTATCTACTTGAGACTTCAAAGAGTGGTCTGTCCTTCACACTTCCACTTATGTTTAAAAATCCTAGCATACAAGTGTGTCTGCCATTAGACCTAAATGAGCTTTTGGACTAGGTTTCTGGATGGTATGACATCAGTTCTTAAGTCAGCTCTGCTTTTACCTGAGCCTTTAAGAAATCATAACCCTAGCCCTGGCCAGTGTGGCTCAGTTAGTTGGAGCATCACCCCGTGCACCAAGGGGTGGTAGGTTCGATTCCCAGTCGGGACACGTACCCAGGTTGCGGGTTCAATCCCTAATCAGAGCATGTGCGGGAGGCGACCAATCGATGTTTCTCTCTTACACCTCTCTCTCCCTCTCTCTCTCTTCCTCTCTCTAAAACAAAACAAAACAAAACAAAACAAATCAATTAAAAAAAGGAATCATAAGCCCTAGACTAAGTCTAACAGCCAAAACTTCCAATCGTGCTATCAGTTTGGATTACAAAGGAGGGGCAGTCGAGACAAGAACTCCACCCCTTATGTCTGCAATTCTGATCGTAAGACTGCACCTAAGCCCTACAGGGACAAATGTGGAGAAATAAATAAGGTTTAAAAATTGACAAGTGCATGTGCCTGTTGGGAAATGGACCCTTTTGAAGGGATTAGTTCAATACTGTGGGCATCTAGGTCAGCAGTTGTAGGTAAGAACCTCCCTAAGCAGGCCAACCCCTTTCTCCAGGGCCAGGCCATGGCTCGGAGCTCAGCCCAGGGACAGCCCAGTTGGACTGCGGTGTGAGGGGAGGGACGGGGGTG